CCACCCCACCCCCCCCCCCCCCCCCCCCCCACCCACCCCCCACCCCCACCCCCACCCCCACCCCACCCCCCCCCCCCCCCCCCCCCCCCCCCCCCCGCCCCCCCCCCGCCCCCCCCCCCCCCCCCCCCCCCCCCCCCCCCCCCCCCCCCCTTGTTATACGGGAGAGAGCGGGCCAGACGCCACTGGGTAAAACCTGTGACGGGCACGGGTAGAGGGGAGTGGGGAAGCGTAAGATCTCCGGGCTGTTGCCCCCGAAGGCGGCTCGAACCGGTACTCGAAGGTATTCGAAGGAATTACGATTTTCGTGATATTTGAATGTCTACAATTTTATTGAGTCTGAAACAAAATCAGACGTTCGTAGAAGTTCGTAAATAAAGATTCCATGGTTGGTCAGCTGATGTCTAAATATCCGCCTCTTTCAGGCGCCCATTGACTCAGATATGAATCATTCCACTTGTCAGCCTTATTGTAGGCTCCGCTTTCGTGATAAAGACTCATGGTAGCCTGTCAAAGAAGATGGTATATTTGACTCTAATGAAAAATATCCTAGGGTTTGAATTACATATGTAAAAGGAATTTTGGAATGTCATATTGGAATTTTAATAAAACCATGTGGTATCTACTCATCATCACTCTCTTCCTCGGATTCTTCCTCGCTACTCTCCTCCTCTGCCTCGGCAAGCCAGTCAACAAATTGCTGGGTCTGGTTACGGATAGTCCGCATCTCTTCGGAGTTACTGGACCGCTCATCATTCCACCACTGGCCGTAAGCCTCCTCCTCGATAAGGTCAAGTTCATATAGAGACTTGGCAGTAAAGAGAAGGACCATATCACCCTTATTACGATGAATAAGATCCTGCTGGAGCGCGAGCAGTAGATCAACCTGGTCCTTCTTTTGTCCCTTGCTGCGATCGAATAGAGTGCGCTCAATAACCTCCTTGTATGCCGTAAAAACCTCATTGACTGCCGGACCGGCACCCTTGCCGCCCTCCATGAGCTGCTGGATGTGCTTCATAAACGATGTTACGATAGCGCGACGGACCTGGTTGTCCGAGGCGTTGGCGCTCATACGCAGAGTGACCAGCTCAAGCTGTACCACGTCTGCTGCCACGCCTTCGCGTAGACTGTCGAACAAGCTGACTGATGCATCGTGGTGGAAATTGTCGGAATCTTCGTCGGCGGAGAAACTGCTCCGCTCAGATCGTGCCCAGGAGGTATTTGAGACCTCGGATGATAGTGTTGAAATGGAGGCGGAAGAAAGTGAGAGATTGGGCATGCGGTACACTGTGGATAGCATAAATTAGTAATGCGGACCCGAAGAAGCACACTAGAAAAAAACATACCAAGTCCCGATGAGGCTACGCTCACGTCGTCGTCCTCATCTTCCTCTTCCTCGCCGTGAATAAACTCATAGCCCTCGCCTCCTTCGCCAACGACTGCGGGATCGTTCTTGCCCACACTGCCGTCGTTTCGAGTTTTCGTGATACGCTTCCCACTCTCCACCCAGATGTTATCTGCGATTTTGACACCATAGGACAGAAGCGATCCCGCTGCAACGGCACAATTCTTACCGAGAACCACGCCATCAGCGATAATCGCCCCACGGACGTCTGTGTTATCGCCGATCACGACATCGTCCCAAATATAGGCACCATCCAGCTTAACATTGCGGCCAATTTTACAGTTTCGACCGAGTACGGAGTTGTGGACTTCTGCCCGGTCCCCAATACTAGTGCCTTGTCCGATAACTGTGCGGCGCCCAATGACGCAAGAGCGTGCCAGGGTCACCCCTGTTTCTTGGTACATGCTGCCTTTACGAAGGGTGAACGTGTGACCAGGGAGTAGGTTCGTATCCGGGCACAAGGGATATGTCCAGCGCGAGAGAACATCCTTGCTAATCGCGTCGTAGGCCTTCAGGTTGCGCACGCGCGCAGCGTAGTGGTCCTTGACAATGTATGTGTGCAGAGTCTTGCCGTTCAGCTCATAGTCCTTCAAAACACCATACAGGTAGTGTTTCCGGGGGGATTGGTAATCGAAACTATCCGACCATAAGCTCAGTACGTCCGGGGTGCAGATATCGATGCTGCAGTCGATCAAGTCTTGGCGGATGTCCAATTCGGGGTGTTTGAGGATAATTTCGGCGTCAATGTTCAAGCGAGAGGAATGCTCCTCGTCTGCATGGCGGTCGATTTCCTCGTAGTGGAGACAGCGGTCCTTAGTGGGGTCAATGACAAAAATTGGCGAAATTGAGGTGGACTTGGTCCTGTGCTGTAGGCCAGCCTCCCTTAGAACCATGGTCATGATCGCATTCTTGTCAAGTGCTCGACGCGCCCGGTGCTGAGCCAATGCGCCTTCGATGGGCAGGTTGCTGATCACATCGCCGCTCACGACAATGAAGTCTCCAGTGATGAGGTGTTTTCCATCCAGGTCGCGCATAACGTCACCAACAGAGGTAGAAGTCGACTTGAGGAATGTCAATTGCTTGAATGGAGAAGACAGGGCCCTCCATTTCGATGCACTAGCAATATAGGTTAGCTCTGCCATCCGTACCGGAGAGTCCTAGGGCAAGCCTACTTGATGTATTTCTCCAGCTGATCCGAGTGCGCTCCTCCGTAGAGGAAGACCTCCTCCACGCCCGCATTGGCCAGAAATTCGAGGGTGTATTCGATAATCGGGGTATTTGCGAGTGGCAAAAGGCACTAATAATTTGGTTCGTTAATTCGAAGTCTTGGGCATAGATGGTTTGCTGTAGAACATACACGAGGCTTGTCACGGGTGAAGGGCTCGAATCTCGTCTCGAAGGTATCTGCGAACACCTAAGCAAAGCACAGGTTAGTAAATATATAACACATAGAGAAGTCACGCAAGCATTTGCCAACTGCTAGACCTACCACAGCTTGGAAGGTCTCTTCCACTTCCTCCGCCGCATTGGGCTTTGGCTTTTGCCCAGATTTCTGTTTGGGGGCCATTGTTGTAGGCGTGTGAGCAACGAGTGCTCTATCAATCTAGAGAATCGCAAGAACTATTTTTCGTGAATAGCCGGTGGAAGAGCGGCAGGGCAGTTTTTCGTTAAATGTGTCAACAACCCGTTAAACCGAAGGTTGGCGAAAGTAAACTGAGAGATTTCAGAAGGGATTTTCAGATACCGTCTCCAGAAATAGCACACAAGAAACGCGGTGATCTTGTTATCAAAGAAGAGCACAAAAAAGCCTCGGAGTCATCCCGCCCACTTGTTTGCACTGTTTGCACTCCAATGCGGTCAACCTGTTGCCTTAGGCAGACAGTCCCAAATAGGTTTAGTCTAAAGATGTAGATGAAGCTTAAGTACGGAGTTGATTAGAATTAAAATTAGAATGAATACACAGAATCTGCTAGCTGTATTTACATCGGATGGTACATTGTTTCCCTCATTTCAATGGGGTTTTGAGTGTTCATTTGGGCTTCGTCGGCTTGCATCTCGACTAGGCATTGAACGACTCCAGACTGCCGCTTACACGCCCAATACTTCTACTCAAGGGCGATGATGAAGACTTTGTGTCTTCACCTGCTGCTGTAATACCGGTCACATTCATCTGTTGATTTCTGTAATCTGGCTTGACAAGTCAACCTCCCGAGTAACAGGAAAGATGGTGACCAGTGACTTTCCTTGGAGAATGCGTTGCAAGTCTTTCATTTCGAGGAAATGATTTCCTACAGAAACATGATGATCCAAGGAGCCATGGCCAAATATCAACAACACTAAGTATTCATTCAGGCGCTCAGCTTCGATTGCTTGTTCGCGTATAGTATTTAGATATCGTTCCAGGAGATCATCTCGGGAGACAACACGCAAATTCCCAAGGGCCAAAGACTTCTGAGAGTCTCTGAGAGTCAAGGACGACGCGATATGTTTTTGTCGAATCGCTGTGGAGGTATTTCCCGTATTTTTGAACGAGGATTGCGGGATCCTCACAAGTCAACCGAATTTGGCTTGGTGCTGGTAAGCGCATGTGGTTAGTAAATAGCATATAGCAAGCAAAATAGTAAAACACTCACGACGTGGAAACTGGGGCGTAAGAAGATAGTGGAACAGGTAGAAATCAGATACAAATCACCCGTCTTCTTCAATAGGCACGCTTGCATCATTGATATCTGTCGTGCCTAGTAGAGCCACAATCCGATGACGATGGTGGACAGTGTGTCAAAAGTCGCACCCTATGTTGTGGAGAAATCTTTTTGTGGGGAAAGATCGACCATACATCGACTCTATTTTCTCCCCCGCAATTTCTAGCACTTTGCATTTTCTCACCCTAAATGTGGTCATTCACCGAGCTCCTATGGCACTACGCGGCTAGTTATGTACCCAAGCAGGGCACATAGCTGGAGTAAGAGACTATGTACCCAAGCCAGATCTCGAGGACGAGATTTTTCATTGGGGTGACAATACGTTACAGTTACCCATATTTTAGCTAGCTCTACAGGTATTGAATGGAGCCTCTTTCTCCATCCTATAACTTGAAAGGAGTGCCAAGTGCGCGTATGTCTTATATTCCTTACCACTGGATACGCGAACAATAGGATATTGGAAGAGACAGATCGTACGGAGTATACTAGAACCTACTTTTCGTTAAACAACAGGCAAACAAGCAAGATGTACCTATCCCTTACTTTTGTCTTTGGGCTTTTTACATCTTGAGGATCTTGGAACAAATGCAGAAATGACCTTAACGGAGGAGGTATCAAATGAGGAAAAACAAAAACAAAACGCCAAAACTAGGCCCGAAATACATGAGGCATCAAACAAAAGTAAGCCGTTATACAGGACAAGTCTTTATATGGGGAATTCGACAAGGCAAAATTAAACAGGCGACTCAACTGTCTGCAGCGGAACATAACCATCATCACCCCGGTCAGCCGGCATGGGTCCTTTGCCAGTAACGAGAGACCAAAGCGAAGAGAAAACGTTCCCAACACGACGACGTAGAGAGCGCGGGCTATTAGAGAAAATAGTAGTAGAAGGCCACCAGCTCCCCTTACGAGGCGCCACACCAGCTGCAGAGATTGCACCGGACTGGACCTCCTTCTCAAGACGCTCAACCTCCATCCAAGATGGGCGAGTCCAGAATTTCAACAGCAGACTACTAACAACGACAGACACACTGGAAAGAGCCATGGCACCACCGGCGGCCATGGGGGGTAGCATGAAGCCTGTGAAGGGCAGGAAAAGGCCCATGGCGAATGGAAGGCCGATGACATTGTACATGCAAGCCCATATTAAGTTCAACTTGATGCGTCTGAAGACCGAGCGCGAGAGGGAGAGACTGGCTGGTACAGAGAGTAGATCGTCCGGGCGCATGAGGACAATATCAGCAGCCTCGACGGCCACGTCTGTGCCGGATGCGAGGGCGATTCCGACGGATGCTGTGGCCAATGCGGGGGAGTCGTTGATGCCGTCGCCCACCATGGCAACGCGCTCGCCTTTTTCTTGGAGGGCGGAGACGATTGAGCGTTTCTCGGATGGGGAGACGGAGGCATGTATTGTGGCGGTTGGGATGCCGACTGCTGTGGCGATTGAGATCGCTGTTGAGAGCGTGTCGCCTGTTACCATGGAGGTTGTGATGCCCATGCGATGCAGGGCCGCTACTGCTGCCACGGCTGTCTCTTTCACTGTATCCCGGAGGGAGATGGTTCCGGCATAGCGGTTGTCAATTGCAACGTGGATGCGTGTAGTGCCGGCCCCGGTGACACCCGGCTTGGGGATGTCAGCTTCCGGGTCTTCGACAGGTTCCGCAGAGTCGGGATCTGCGTCAGCGGGTACAGGGACATCTTGGGACCGGAGAAATCTGGCGTTACCAAGGAGGACATGGTGCCGGATACGCTGGCCACTAGATGTAGGTTCGACGACGGCGGAGACACCCTTACCAACATAGTTGTCAACGTCGCCCGTGCTCCCTGGCAACCCATCTTCTCCGGCGTGGCCTGATTCGGTTATGGCCGCAGAAACGATCGCACGGCCGATCGGATGTTCACTTCCTGTCTCTGCGAGACCGACAACAAGCCACCACAGCTGACGGCGCCAGTCATTCATCGCCCATTGAGGTTCAATTCGGGTGTGAGCCACGCTCATCCGACCTGTAGTCAGGGTGCCCGTCTTATCAAAGACAACATGAGTAACTTTTGTGGCAGCTTCTAGCACGGCACCTCCCTTGACGAGTATACCATGTTCCGCGCCGACGCCGGTTCCAACCATGACTGCGGTCGGGGTGCTCAGACCTAAAGCACAGGGACACGCAAAGACAATGACCGAAATGCACAGCTTCAAGCAGACCATGACTCGGCCACCACTGCCTGCCATTTCAAATATTGTAGGGGGATGAGCTAATACATGACTGAGGAACATCCAACCAAAGAATGTTATCAAACCAAGACCGATGATGGTGGGAACAAAGTAACCAGCAACGATATCAGCCATGCGCTGAATCGGAGCACGGCTCGTCTGCGCATCCTGTACCAACTTTACAATCTGGCTCAATTGGGTATCCTTGCCGGCTCGAATGACTTTGAAATCAATTGAGTTTGTGCCGTTCACGGTTCCAGCAATGACCTGACTGCCTTTCTTCTTGTGGATAGGTAGTGCCTCTCCACTGATCATACTTTCATCAACATAGCTTTCGCCCCGGATGATCACGCCGTCCGCAGACACCTTATCTCCTGGATGGAGGATAACGATATCACCGACTTGAATCAGCTCGGTGGGAATGCACTTTTGATTCACCGTCATATCATCACCCAACGTGGGTTGCTCAGGCGCGCCATGTACAGGTTTGGAGGTCCAGCGCTCAGCCAGTTTCTCTGCCGCAATGGGATCTTCGTAGATAGTAGTCATAGACGGGGTCAGACACATGAGCCTGGAAAGAGCAGCGGAAGTTTGGCCCTTGGCTCGGTTCTCTAGCCACCGTCCCAAAGTAATGAAGGTGATAAGCATCGTACTGGTGTCGAACACGGTGCTAGGACGACCGTGGTCCGCGCTGCAAAGAGACATGATCATGGTGAAACAGCTGTAAAAGAAGGCAGCGGACGTGCCCAGCATTACGAGAACGTCCATGGTTGGGGACCGATGCTTGAGGGACTTGAAGCTGGTGACATAGAATCGTCTGCCAATGCCGAATTGCACCGGAATGGTAAGAGCAAGACAGACTACATCTCCGAGATATAGGCCCGGGACGAGTGCAAAGCGGCCAAAGTCAATTCCGGGCAAATACATCGGAAGAATCATGCTGATAAGGAACACGGGAACCGCAAAAGATGCGGCGATGATGAAGGATCTTCTCCATTCTTGGATTTCCTTTGTTTTGGACAATGACTGTAGCTGTGCGTTGGTATCATCTGAGTCGACAATCAAGGCGTTGTAACCAGCAGCCTCAATTATTTCCACAATAGACCGGATTCCGATTGTGGATGGGTCGAAGGAAATGGCCATACGAGAGGTAGCCATTTTTATTGATGCTGAATGAACACCGGAATGCTGTAAAATATTGTCCTCCAAGGCAGTGGCAGAAACGCCGTCCCGCAGCCCATGCAAGCTCAAATTTATCTGCTGTGTCTTTTTGGAAATTGATGCCTGCGCCTCTGATGAAACGATTGACGCATCAAATCCAGCATCTTCAACAAGCTCTGGAATTTTGCTGGCAGGGAGTATGGTTGGGTCGTGCACGACAACCGCTCGTTCAGCCAGAAGACTGATGTTGAACTGGATTACCCCATCCACACTGCCCAAGGCACCCTGTACGCTAGATGTGCAAGCGCCGCATGTCATACCGCCGATTGCGATCGTGGTGACTAGAAGTCCAGATTTCTCTTCCGAGCCAGCCGGTGCAGGTGGCTCCTTGGAGCCCACTAGAGCAGTATCCAGCACTCGCGCTCCAAAACCTCGATCTTCAATGAGCTCTGCGATCTGCTCCGGGGTGATGATGCCTGCATCATGTTCCACGACTGCGCGCTCGGAAAGTAGTGATACGTCTACGGAGTTCACACCGCTGACATCGTTCAACCCGCTTTCCACAGCAGACGTACATGCCCCGCATGTCATCCCCTCAATCGCTAGGGTGGTCACCGATAGTCTCATAGCTGGAGAAGAAGAAGTAGAGTCGGGGTTCCTTTGTTCCTCGGTCGAAAGTACTGTCGCATCGAACCCGCGGTCCTCAATCATCTCTGCGACCTTCGCAGGTGGTAACACTGACGGATCATGTTGTACAGTGGCCCTGCCCATGATGAGACTGACAGACACATCGTGCGCACCGTCTACCCCTTGAAACGCGCCCTCTACGGCTGATGTGCAAGCTCCGCAAGTCATTCCGTCGATCTTGAGAGTTGTAGTGGCCAGTGCGGGTCGACCGGCCCCGCCGGCGTGCGGATTTGTAGATAACATCTCGACGGTGAAGCTCGACGGTGAAGCGCGAGGCGAACACGGCGAGAAACGACGACTATAGCATATGGAGGGTGTCTACCAAATTACCTCCGACGCGATGGCGGAGGGTGATAACGTGCTGAGGGACGGAAGGTCTCGGATGGCGCAAGACTAACAGATCATTCCCTTGTTGAGCAGACAAAGAGAACTGCAGAAGTTAAAAAGAAATAGTCTGCCTAGAAGGCCACGTCGATCGGATTTTATTGAAAATCAGCCAGAGGCGCAAGGGGAGAGAGGAAAAGAAAGTGGATTTGCTCGGGAATAGGACCTCGGTGATGTGGACCGACTCTGCCACGCTATGGAATGTCCGCGTGGGCAGCTGATTACATATAGATGGTCGGGTTTTCAATTAGATTAAAAGTGATCCCCGAGGGAATTAATATCAAATTTCGTGGGTTATTGGAAGGCTGAAACAGACTAAGCAATACGAAAATAAGTGGTTGTTTCAAATGTCTACAGAGATGAACCTGGTTACACTGCGTCTGATTGTCGCTTTGCTATACTTGCAGAATGCCCTGCACTGAGATTACCACGCTAGCATTCAATTATATAATAGATACGAGATAGAATAAGCAATAACAGAATAGAAGTAGGAACTAATGAATATACGAAAAATAAAAACAAAAAGCAACAGCCCTCCAAGGCTCTATACTCCGTAGAGTTGTAGAGGAATCAGATAAGACGTGTTTGCACTCAATGCAAACAAGCATCTCCGACTACATTTGATGCTTCCCATCTTGAACTCAGCTACCACGTATATCCCACCCATATTGCAGTCCTCTTTCTTGGTTACTCTCCAATATCCCCAAATACCCTCATTGAACCTACACCTCGGTTAACCATATCACAATGGATCAAACCCACACACGAGCCCTAGAGGCTCTCCAACCATTCATCCACCTAGCCCGCTCCAACAGCGCAGGTTCGCCTCGCTTTATCGCGAATCTCATCACAAATGCCACCTCAAACGCGCAAACCTACGTCTTCGCAGAGCTCCTCGAGCTGCCAACGATCCAGGCATTACGGTCACCAGACACTCCAGCCGAGTTTAAGGGCTATCTAAAGCTACTAGAGATCTTCGCATGGGGCACATGGCAAGAATATCAAAGTAAGATTGCACGCATCCAAAGCCCAGAAACCAAACCATGTCCCAAACCATCCAAATGAAACCTCCCCAGAGAACCGAACCCTCAAATTTACCAGAACAAAAGCTAACCACCGATACCCCGCACCAGCAACCCCAAACCTCCCCGAGTTGAACACAGAACAAACCCTCAAACTCCGCCTTCTCTCACTCCTAACCCTCTCAACAACAATCAAACCCCTCACCTACAGCGCCCTGATGACCGCCCTCAGCAGCCCCACAAAATCCGAGCTCGAATCCCTCGTAACAAGAGCCATCTACGCCTCATTGATAGCGGGCCGCCTCTCACCAGCCTCCAACCCACCATCCGTGAACGTGACAGCCGTCGCCCCACTCCGCGATGTCCTACCCCAGTCCCTCCCTAAGATGATCGCCAACTTGAGCGAGTGGGAATCGCGCTGCGGCGAGGTTGTCTCCGATCTGGAGGCGGAGATTGCGCGCGTTAAGAGTGATGCTGCGAAGCGTGCTGCACGTGCCCAGGCGCACGATGAGGCATTAGAGAAGGCTAAGAAGAGGAAGCAAAGTATGGCGAAGAGGGGTGGTCGGCGCGGTGGTCGGCTTGGCGCTGGCCTCGGAGGGAGTAAGAGGGATGCGGACGATATTGATGAGGATGATGGGTACTTTGACAATTATGACGGTGGTGAGCATGGCTCGCGCATGGATATTGATGAGGCGCCTGGTGCTCGCGCGGGAAATAGTCGGCAGCCAAAGAGGGTGCTGGGGCGCAAGTCTTGAAGTGCGGAGGTGCTCCCATTTGCTCATGGTTATGTCGCACAAAAGATGGCAGCGGCTCCAACAGGATTTATGATACGAAATGACTTGATTATGGTTTAGTTTCATCTCTTGGGATAGAACCCGGAAAGGAGCAAATTGCATTCGTAAGGCCCTAATGGCGACGCTCATTAATGAAAAATAGATACAATACAACATTTTCAAGTGTTGAGGGGTATTGGTAGAAGAGAAAATAATCACAGCAAAGCAGCAGAGACAGTAAATATGGACAAAGAGGAAGTAGACGTGACCGCTAATAAGCGGGATAGGACGGATGGAGGAAACAATCACCTCTGTATAGCTCCCAGGAAGAAAATGGGCTGCAGATCCGAGACATAGTCTTTTTCAAGAATATGCACCATAGAAGCAAAACCTCTGTACTCGGACACGACGGGAACGCCTTGGACAGGTCAAGTCGAGTCAATTGTAGACGTAAGAATGATCGAATGATCGAACGAGGTTCACGGGGTGATTGTTTTGAAGTTTGTATTAGATGGACACTGGACGTGGTAAACGGCTCACATCATGGTACCGGGGACGAAAATAAACAAGATGCTTAAAGCTGCCGCTGTGAAAAAGGCGATCAACGCAGTGACGACGGCGCGCTTGTTCAGCAGCTTTCGGACATATGGCTCGCGAATTGGGGCCCAGTTCATAAAGGTGTATTCACTGTAGCCCAGGAACGCCATGATGGGGTCGATCTTGTACTGATAGGAGATGATGAAGTATGCGGCGACAGCAAATGGAAGAATGACCTGAAATAAAGTTAGCAGACAGATTCATTAGTGCTTAGAGATGATCATCAACATACCCAGCAACGAATATGCCGAGGCTTATTCCGCAGAACAACGTAGAAGGCACCCCAGAATCCTCCGCCGAAGCTAATCAGAGCAAAAGCGAGGCGCAAGATGGTACTCAAAGGAACCATGTTCCCAAGAGCCTTTGCTTGCAAGAACCCTGGGAATGCATCACGCTCCATGGCCTGGAACACATAGTCCTTGGCAGGGTCAAACACTTCGGGGTCATCTCGGCCGTCATCCTCAACCAGGTTGATAATCGTGGAAACCATGGATTCTGGCAGCATAATCTCTCGCTCGGAACCGGGAAGCAGATATGTGTACAAGATTTTCTCAGCGCTGGCGCGAATGTCATTGCGGGCCACTGTGTGCCCGGGGGAGGAGTCGTCAAGCCGGGAATCCGGGGTGTCACGGCCACCGTCATAGGAAGAGGCTTGGTGCGCTGATTCGCCGGAAGATCTTGGACTGTTTCGGGAGGGTGATGTGGTGTGGCCTTCGGAGCGAAGAAAAGCAGACAGGCGTTGGTCGGCATCTCTGCCCTTTTCGTTTTCTTGGAATCCGTGTCTTAGACGAGAAGGCCCAGCTTCTGTCAGCGGAATATCACCTAGGTTCTCCAGATTGTCTAGCATGGCAGAAGGTTCTCTTTCCAGATCGGGTGTCGCGACGAGGACGGAACGGCGAAGTTCACGGACATAGTGTCGGCACAGTAGCATGTGTTGTGATACATCAAGCCTATGGGTCGCGTTAACTTCAGATACGGTCATCCAACGCGAGCTTACACTCACCAAAAGTCTAGATAGTCTACGGAACGCTGCTGATCGCGCATGTAAATGTAGAACGAAAAGAGGTCGACCGGGGCGAGAGTTCGGCGGCTGAGAACTTCAAAGAGAGTCGGTAGCCGATTACGCGACTCCGCGTCGACAACATCATGATGAGACATATCGATAATGTGTTTAGAGTAGGCAACGATGAAAGGACCAGCACCGAAATTTCAAAGCAAAGGCGGGGGAGCAAAAGGGGGAGAGATTAAGGTCGCGTCGGCAAGCGGGCCAGCAATCTCTGCACACCCTAAAAGATACGGGGGTAAGACGGAGGCGATTCAAAGCGAATGGTGAAAATCGAGAGCGAAATGAGAGGGGTTGAAACGAATTGAGCTCCACGTTGGTGCGTAAACAATGAATGGTGTGTGGATATCGAGCCCCTGAGGTTGTAACACAACTAGGTCGGCCCAGCAATAGCAACAGCAAAAAAAGAAAGCAACGAAAAATTGAAAAACACAAGTCCTATCGGAACAAAAGACGTAAGGGTGAAGTCTGTGAGGCTATTCCAGCCATCAGCATTGTTGAGACCCCGCAACAACGATAATCCGAGATTAAGCCCTGTCAGGGGGAAATTAACGTTGAGGTTTTAGGTTATTGCATCACATATCATCATGCATATAAGCGCCTTTATATTGCCTTCTACCTATGTATATTCTTCTATACTCTGCTGCTATGATCCAAGCTACTCTATGCTCTACTATAGACATCAACTCGAGCTTGACAGATACCAGCCCCACCGTACCAAGCATAGCATCTATAGATCTGATTGGTGGGAAAATAGATCAACATATCCATCCATGGGTTGAGCTAGACGTCGATCTAGACTATTTGATCAACATTGAGAAGAGATTCATAAACTGGCATTAATTCATGAATGAGAATCGCATGTTGTAATCTATCAACAGGGTATTGCCTATCAAATTTCAATTCCCCAACGCCGTTCCAGAAAAACACCCTCGCTGCAATGAATGTATGTCCCAGGATCAATGATTATCGGCAAGGTGCTAGATATCAGAGTTAGAATTGTCTTTGAGAACAGCTTCACTGTGGATACTAACCGACCACTCCGGAATATTCCGGATCTGCTGCCACATGAACTTCTCAAGCTTATTCGCGCTCTTGGCATATGGTGTAGTCTCATTGTTGTAGCGTCGGCAATTGTCGAAGATCAACATGGCGTCCTTGATGAAGTCCTGTGGAGTCGGGTACAAGTCCTTCTCATGCTTCTCTTCCATGCTCGACAGATCCATGGGCTCCATGATTACCTCGTAGTAGTCTGGAACCTCATCGCGGTTCACGGGTTGAGTAAACGGCCAAGCCGCGCTGTGATTCTGCATATCGTTCAACAAGTGGAGCAATTGGTTATAGTTGGGCCCATGGCGTGGTTGGCGAGCCATTTCATCCATGTCTGGCGACCAGCCGGACTCTTTGATTGCGGGAATGCTAAGAGGATCGATCGCGTACACTCCGTTCTTCCATTCCTTCGGAGGGGGATGGATGATATGCGAGCGACTGAAGGCGCGAATCTTGGCTTGCACAGACTCTTTCTGTTTGGTGAGCATGCGTCCCATCTCTAGATATCGAATCCTCGGGAGCATAGTACACTGCATGAGCGTGCCACCCTCGTAATCTTTAATGTAGCCCATCCAGATTGCTTTATCGAGTGTGATCTCCTTGGTAAAGCCCTGTTTCTTGAAGTATCCAATGGCATAATTATCGGCGTATGTGAGGAAGTGCATAATTGGAGATGTAGCTTTCACGTAGTCCTATAGGGCAATAAGTCAGATATATGCATAGAAATTGCAGATCCATAAGCATGTCTACCTTGAGATGGGACATCAAGTGTGCACCGTATCCCTTTACTTGTTGGTCCGAAGATATAGCGCAGAAGACAATCTCAGCAAACTTTCGAGAATTGAACGGACGATACGTGATTCCTCTGTAGTTTGTCAGTGGCCTAATCCAACCAATAAAGGACAGCAGGCACTTGTGACATACCCAACAACTTCCAGTGGATGTTTTACGATAGCCATCGAGAGATGGGACCGATCGTAGACAAGGCGTGCGATGTAGTCCTTGGGCATCTTCGGAAGTTGTTTCTGGAAAATACACTTCAAGCCTGTGAGGACAATGAAGCTATCGTGGGAACCATCGTTGTTGACGACACGGAACTCAATGTCGCCTCGGCGTTCTTCAAGAACGGCGGGCTGTGATCATCAGCCATTGTCCACGAAGAGACATAGGATATGGTGGCGTGGGATGGGAGGGTACCTTCTCAGGGAATGGAACAATTCGGAGCGGAGGCTTTTGAAGGAGGCCATCTTCCTGTGCGGGGCACTTGTCAGAACAGGTACGCGAAGCGATTTACATAGTAGCCCTGGGGAGCCTCTTACCTCTTTCACTGGGGAATCTGTGCGCGCCTTCTTGCTAATCTGCTGCCCAGATTCCGGGGAAGCTGCCTCCTCAGAGGCTTTGCGCTTGGAACCTGATACCATAGTCGTATGTCAGAAATAGTTTGACAAAATACAATGTGAAAGTATGAAAGTTCACTTACTCTTTGGCGATTCAGCAATCATAATGTCCTTGTCCTTCAAACCTGCCCAGGTGACCATGCGCCGACAATGGCATGGGGTATCGGTCGGAACAACTAACCGCCGGTCGGGCCAGATTAACATTAGTCGATCTATATCACTTTCGCATATCTTTGACCTGCATCAATTCGTCCCTCAATTACATTTATCAATTCTATTATCCTAATGTCTCTGAACGAAGTCTGGGAGGCAGCCTCTGCAACTCCATTCATCCCTCTTATTGCCAAGGATAGCCAATTCTCTGTCGGCTTCAACTTGCTGCTCCTCGGTAAGCTTCTGGTTTCTCACAGCTTTGGAAATAGCCAATCTCTGACTAATATTGATAGCATTGGTTACGGCCACTCTATTTGGCTTGAGTAAGTTACTTTCCAAATCATAACGAATTTGACTCTGACATTACACCAAACAGATCGGTCTTTCCTCGGCATCGTATCCTTGGGCATCCCGGCCGCATTGGCATCTGGGTTAGTAATGCGCTGCGTCCCATTTTTAGGCATACGATATACTGATTGGGTATTACGGATAGTTTTGGAGCTGTGTTCATGATTTGCGCCGCCGGAGTCTACGTCTAACCGGCTACATTTCCTATTGCGCGTCCCCTCAAATGTACCATAAGCGTTGGGTTCAAGAGGGTCTGTACTGCTAAATATCCAAAGTCATCACGCATCTTCGGATCAATTACCTTTGTTCTGTGCCAGTATTGCGCCTGAAAAGTTCGAGCTACCAGCCTACGCCACAAAATGGAGCCCCTTTTCGCTGGTGTCTCCAACAACGCCCACCATCTCTACACGCTGCTCTCCTGCATTGGTTTCGCACACAAGGCCACTGTTCAAATCACCCCGGATGGCCTCCGATTCTCAGTGGAGGAAGGCCGCGTCATTCAAGGACTAGCGTTTCTTGACAAGTCACTCTTCACCAGCTACACATTCAATCCATCGACCGACCCTGAACCTAACAACCAGAACGGAACACCCCAAGAAGACAATGAATTGCAAAATGAGGCTTACCCTCATTTTGTTGTTTCTCTCACCGCTATCCTCGAAACCCTAAAGATCTTCGGTATCAACGAGCTCTCCGAGTCCAATCGACCCCGCGACACTAGCATCACGCAAACCGGCACCGCCTCGTCAAGCGCATTCAACGCCCCAGCCTTGCTCATGGACCGCTCCTGCACCCTAAAATACGCCCAACACGGCGCCCCACTTAGCATCACCATCACTGAAGCTGGCGTGAAAACAACCTGCGAGCTAGTAACATATGAGCCCGACGAAGACGAAGCAGACATTCCCCTCCAGCGCGACGCTATCATCATGAAAATCATTATGCGCTCCGCCTGGCTACACAATGCCATTGCCGAACTCGACTCCTCCACCCCCACGATCCTAAAACTGTCCGCCTGTGCCAAGCGAGAACCGTACTTTGCTCTCTCCGGTGCAGGCGGCCCGTTCAGTGAATCCACTGTGGAATTCTCAGTTGACCAGCATAACGAGATTGCCGGTGGCGCTGGTCAGGGCACCACACAATCTCAGATGCGTAAGGTGTTGCTCGATAATGGCGCTGCCCGGACTCGCGCAACTAAAGCTAAGCTTGCACCTACGGTCACAGAGACTTTCCTTGTTTCTCCTCCTTCCTCTATGGGCGAGCGCATTCAACAGAGCTATCGCTTTTCGTTAATTCGCAAGGCCGCGAGAGCTATGTCTGTCGCTAATAAGGTCAGCATCCGTGGGGATAGACAGGGGGTGTTGAGCTTACAGTTCATGGTTGAGCTTGATGATCATAATGTGCCAGTGGGCAGATCGATCGGTGCTGGCGTAAAGGGTCCCAATGGACCTGTGTGCTTTGTGGACTTCCGGTTTGTGCCGTTGCTAGACGAAGAGGAAGCTGAGATGGAGATAGGAGCAGAAAGCGAATAGCCGGGTTAGGATAATTAAAATACAGCGTATACCTGATTGAAAATGGTTCCAGGTACAGATTCATGGAGTAAAATTGTTTCTTCGAATAAGAACATACAAGCTCTCTGGTATAAAACAAATCGAATTCAAGGCCAAAAAGCCAGGCGCTAAGATATCAGCCTAATGAATAGAGCGAGAAATCAAACCCCCAAATCGAACAAATCATGTACATCATCAGAAGTGCACACACTATCAGTATAACTATCAGTATGAGAAAGAAACCAAGCCACAAACCAGCTATGCCACGAATGCGAATATGTCCAATAGGCCAAATCCCAAAGTGCATCACAAAACGCCAGAGTTATAGAAAAAAAGGAGAAAAAAAAAAGGAAGCACTCGATCACTCAAGCATGATCAGGATTGTAACTCGTTTCCCCCAGCATACTCTGCCCAGCCGGCGCAGTCGGATTCGGTGTGGTAGGACGCGGCATCGACGAGCTAGGCTCCCCCAAACCAGGCGACTGCACGCGCCCAATAGTGGCAGCCTGCAACCTGCGATCCAAAGCCTTGAGCGCAATAGCCCGTCTGCGCTCCGCTTCCTCGCGCTTACCGGCGCCCCTGGCCCCACGCTGATTATTCAACAGCGTGGGCAAGCCCGCCTCGCCTCTCGCCAGCACCAGCTCGTTACCGGAGGCGATATCGTCCGCCGAGAACGGCGTCAGAAGCTTAGCGGTGACTAGCAGGGTGTAGATCTGGTCTGCGACGAAGGCGACAGGTGGCTGCATCACGTCTGGGAATAGACAGGCGAATGCGAATGTCTCGCTGGCATCGCCTTTGATGCCTGTGCCGTTCGATGTGCCGGTTAGGTCGGGCTGTCGCTTGTAGAAGCGGAGATAGGTCCAGCTGGTGAGGATGCCGAGCCAGGAGAGGACTGCGGCGGTGTCTGTTCCGATGGCGAGGCCGCTAATGCTGTTTAGGAGGAGGAAGAGGGCGGGGAAATGCTTGACGCGCATTTTGATGATTCCTTTGAAGATTGTCACGGTGTGTTCTGGGACGAGCTGTTTGAAGGCGACTAGGAAGGAGGCCTGAATTGAGACGCCGCCGCATATTTGGGTGAGACTGTTTTTTTTTTTAGATGGTTAGTGTTTGTTTGGTATAGGGTGGTGATCGATGTGCTCGTTTGGGGGGTGCATACGCTCTGCTTGAGGAGCCTCCCACTGCGCCCCAGATCAGGTAGACTGGGATGATGGCAATGCAGGGGATCACGGCGACGACTGCGATGAACTTGCTGAACTCGCGCGAGCCCCACGCGCGTTCGAGGTACTTGCCGCCATAGAATATGGTGGCAGCATTTAACAGGACGGTAAATATATTCTGCTCGACGAAGGTGGCCGTGACGATTGTCCAGGGGTAGTAGAAGAAGAATGAAGGGACGAGCGTCAGGTAGGGGACGAGAGGCGATGTGGTCGGTGTTCCGCCGGTGGTGTCAATTTGCCGCCATCTGGCAATGTTATAGAGTAGGGAAAGAGTGAGAAGGCTGACGAGACAGATTCGAGTAGCAGGGGGAAGGTTGATTCGGAGCGACATATTGAAGCTCGCTTGGAGCTGCAAGACGCCACAGGCCGTAGAGATGGGGAAAGTTGAGGTGGGAGACTTTAGTGGAGAGCGGATGGCGGAAGTCCCCCGATGTTTGTTTGGCGAGACGCTTCTACTTCTACATACATCCACGTCACCTGTGATTAATGTCAGCTTATATTCCATGTCATCACCTCATCTTTCTTACTATTTACCACATACTATTTATCTTCTTATTGCTCTCTGCTGTTTGGTTTTCAGTTCTAGATTAAATTGAAGGAGTGACAAGCCTCAAGGGCTAATAGCTGGGTACCGGCATGAGCCGGACGGCCATAGAAGCCTGAAAGAGTGGTGAGATAGAGAGAGAGGTGCTAAGCGTTCTTGAATCTTAAGAAAGCTCAGAATGCTGCAATGGATTTAACATCATTAACCCTAATTCCCGGAAGAAATATGCAGACTACAGTGCTGTGTTGAAGTTTACGAGTGTAAAGTAGTATGTATGAACAGAACATACATAGCTTTCATAGAAGGGGTGTGTGATCTATGACAATTAGATAGCTGGCTTAGCTTTCCAAATTCGTTCTGCTTCTATATCAGCTTCATGCTACAAAAGCGCAGTAGATGTGAAACAGGAACCAGGGTGCGGTTTCTGTTTGAATGCAACTTATCGGGGACTCCGAGTTAATTAGCGCTCGAAGTTCTCAGTCCTTATTCTCCACAGTACGGGTACTTACTGAGGAAATCGTAGAATTCGTCAAAGGCGGCTGGGATTTGGAACTCCTCTCGGAGAATGGGTCGTAAGTCTCACTCATCTCCCGGCTCCTCATTCTCCGATGAAAGCAGCTGGATCTCAAAGATACTCTCGACCTCCTCCAGGTTCCAATCACCCAGAGCCTTCGAGGGAAGATTCTGTTCCGCTTAGAGTTTCAGGTCGTCAAATTTGGCCTTCAGTTGCTCCATATCGGATTTGCCCACGCTGCTCACGTTTGCCAGCCACCCCAGGATCTTGGAAACATCCTTGAGGATATCCTTGTGTTTATCGGCAAACTCCATCAGGGTCAATGTGGTGTATTCATAGAGATCAAACCATTTAGTGCTGTGTATGTAGATAAACGTGTCTTTGTTTTCGTTATCGACCAGGATCTTCTGTGTTCCCTCGCTTTCAGTATTGACGTATTCGCCATAATGAGAGCCGAATTTGAAATGAATGACACGTAGAAAAGTATTCGTCGCTGCGAGGAGGAAGACACTGTAGATAGAGACACGTGTCAACAATTGCAAAAGAGGAGCAATATAATGCCACAAACCCAATGGTAGACTTACTCTTGCAGAGGGTGAGCTCGTAGTCAGTGCTATCTAATTATATAAGAAGGAGAATGTAATGATAAGGTAAGGATAGAGTATATGTAGTCAGTTCAAGAACAGAAGCAGATCAATCTGCCGACCACTTTGCAGCATGCTGATCCTGTTCCACTGGCTGGAGCTCCTCTCCCCCTCCTCTCCCTTCACATCTTCCATACTCAACATGAAGAAAAGAGAAGGAAAGACTCAAATATCAAAAGTAAAATCTTTGTGGTGAATTTGATGTTGACGACGCTGGTCCAGCGGGTGAATTAGTCTGTGGTGGCGTTGATGAAAGAGTTTGAGCTAGCTTGCATGAATGGTAAAGCTTCGTCCATATGGTGGTTGTGTTATTGGCGATCTATTTCTCGTACTGCCAGTTCGTTCGGCATGGTAATAAGCCCACTTGCTATGAGAATGTGTCCTATGTGTGCAGAGCGATGATGATGTCCATTGTGATGGTGTGTGTAAGAGAGAGAGAACGAGAAGGGAGAAAGGCCAATAAATAGTCTATGTAGCTTCCATGGTTAGAGTGGCTGCTCAGGAGATGGTCAAGACATTTAAAAAGACATACAAGAGGCCCAGAAGCCATATGAGGTAGACTGTATATAGGTAGGAAATCGCAATGCCCGAAAATCACAATTTGGTGGGACACAATTAATAGTCAAAAAAAAAAAACAAAAACATGTAACTAACTAAGGAGAATGTAAGTAGATTTCATTTACTTCGACCTCGCTAGGGTCTTTCGTGGCCTAAAGGCCGACTTCGAATTCCGCAACACGAGCCCATAGCATAATGCCTCCCTTAGTGCACAGCAATCCCGTAGGCAACCTTCTGCCTTACTTAATCTCCCAGAAACTATCCATATCCATATCCTAATCGCTATGGTCTTCCATGGGGAGATCACCGTCATCTCCGCTGATAACCTCGTCACTATAGTCAACCTCGGGGCCATTGTAGTCAGTCTCAAAATCACTGTCAACCTCGGGGACACTGGAGTCATGAGTGACAGGCAAACGTATGGGGTAGTCTCCGTCATGCCACCTTATTATCGCTAGAATATGGCACAGCGCAGACTTTCTTCCCCCAGACGTCTGGAGATTAAACCATTCAGTGCTGTTCATGTAGACAAACGTGTCTTTGTTTTCGTCATCGACCAGGATCTTCTGTGTCCCCTTTCTTGTAGCATCGATGTATTCGCCATAATGAGAGCCGAATTTGAAATGAATGACACGTAGAAAAGTATTCGTCGCTGCGAGGAGGAAGACACTGTAGATAGAAGCATATGTCAACAATTGCAAAAGAAGAGCAAACCAATGCCACAAACCAATGATAGACTTACTCTTGGCCCAGTTCCCCTCGGTTTGCTCGCCATGATATCACCGCTTCGGCAAGGTACTGAGCCAGGGTCTCATTTGACACTACTGGCTTAGGTTTTCCCGTCCGCTCGTCAAAGTCGAGATATTTAAACGCCCTTTTCGCCTCAATGAGGGCCAGGTATGGCTTTATCATCCTCCAGCCATCGGTGTCCCGGTACATGCTGCAAATCCCACCATCATCTTCAGCGCTAATATCATGGCCAGCAATGTGGATCGTAGCTTTAAGGCGTTCGACCCGCGGTCGTACCTCGTGGTCTCCTTCATCCTGTAATAGACAGAGGTTCAAAGCGAATTGCAGAAACGACATCAAGAAGTGAACGGTGACTTCCTCGGGTTTACTTCGCCGAGCGTCATGCTCATCCTCGTCGAGGTCGTCAAGGTCAACCTCAAATTCGGATGAACTGAGCTTCATGGAAGGGGAGGACCCTGGAATGGCGGATGTAGAATTAACAAAACCGTCTGCTTTTAGAGGTCGTCGTTCGCGCTGAGGATATACCCGCGGCTCTATGAAGACTTGCGAGCGGGTTACTCGTGCGAGTTGGACCCAAAAAAAACCACCTGGTAGGCGTAGAAGCTCAGAGTCCGTGCTTTTCCGAAAGTCGATTGGACAATCTGAGGTGAGAAGTTTCGTCCAATAATGGTCAACGTTCTGGGAACTCTGTCTTTCAGTATTACACACTGGGCAGTGATTCTTGTGATCAGTTTTAAAACCCTCCAGAAAGGGCTTTTCTGGGAGAGTGAGCAGTCGAAAGCCAAGCAAATGTCGGAATGACCATCTGCTAGCAGAACGCATCACTTCCTTTGGCTTGAGCTGCGAAATAAGCCGTAAGCCCTCATGCTCCTTAGACAGACGTCCAAATTCGGCTCGGCTTCGAGCTTTATAAATCGGGGTAGTCATGCTGATAGATATCGCGTCAGCTCATTTCTCAAAGAACGTTCGAGATGTGGAATATACATTTAGTTTCTCAAATTTGATGGTCATTCGAGCCTTCACGCCACTGCTAAGTAAAAGTGAGGGGGTTACTGAGGGGTAAATAATGGATGTTTGTTGGACCCCTGTAGTACTATACAAGGATGGGGCTAGAGCCTAGGGCTGGAGCCTGGAGCTGTGGCTTGTGGCTGACGGTCCGCAGGGTGACAGTTACCTAGTTACGCGTCGCGCGTCAAAAAATCATTGATTCAACAGCAGCCACTACCACTGCACCAAATTCGCATATTCCTAGGGAATTATCTCGATGAAATGTCAGACTTACCTTCTTCAATAATTGGATCCAAGCGAAAGGCTGGAAACGATATTGAAAGTCCTCCAGCGCAGCGACCTCATCCCTCCCAAAGCGAGTCTCTTACCATGTACCCACCAACGACAGTCAGGGGCCTACCCCAACCAGATTCGATTCAGGCAATTCTTCGTGATAACTGTGGGACACGCTTGTATGTACGGCCGATAGCATGGACCTCAAACCAACTACGACTTTTGACGTGCCAGTTCCGGCCCCAGAAGGAGAGGAGGCCGCAAAACCCACAAACACAACCCGCATCGCAAGATCCTGGTTTCCATGGAGATAGGGCAGCAGATGATGCTGTGCAGATAAAGCCAGTGAAAGGGCGATCCCGTCGGGCTATGATCAGTGCAAATCATCTGGCAGGGAGATTCGCCTTGGATGTCAAGAAGGCAGCTGTTAAAACCATACTTGGTACTTATGATATTGAATATTCAGAGTAACATATCCCGTATTTCACGGCATTGATGGTGCTGCTAACAAGCTTCTAGTTCTGATAACCTGCAGTTTTACTTTAATCGTCGGGCTGTTGCAAGAATCAGAACGGAAGGTGTCTTCACGAACAACTCCGTAGCTCCAAACCTTGCCTATATCACGTTCGGTAAAATACAGTTACTTCGCGAGAAGCACGTGTCCTACACGCCACCTCGCAAAAGAAATAGAAGCAACGAACCCGGTTTCCGTGTCTGGGAGAAAAAGCTGAAACTTCTTGAACCCCAAAATCCCGTCGAAGACCCATACATCGTGGCGATACTGATCGCTCTAGCCCAGGGGCAACGGCGTGCGCAGCAGCAGGAGTCACAAGGAGCAGATTCCGAAATCAAACCCGAGAATCAGACGAGTCATGTGGATGCAGATATCACCTCGAGTGCAAATTCGAGAACGGCTGACTCGTGCTCACTAAGTACAGAGCAAATGGCTCGGAACACAGCGAATTCTTTCAAGGTATGTTCTGCACAATCTTGGATAGGTGCACTATTTATTAAACCTAAGAAGGTACAGGTCCTAGCCCATTCTGGAATAGTGGCCGATACCCTTTACGTTTACACAGCCAACATCGACTCTGAATTTCTCGACAAGTTTGATGAGCCGTCGCACTACTCCCCAAGCTGTCCGGTTACAATAAAACATTCTCGTGTCCCATTGACAAGCCCATTTGTACTAAGGAGGATCCACCGGTGGCTCTGCCCTGGTTCTTGCAGCGCTTGCTCTCGCGGTAAGGCACAAGATCCTACCGCTGTTACCGCTGCTGCCACTGTTGAGACGAAGCAGGAAGACAGCCCATCCCTGGTCACCAGGGTGGTACAATACTAGTGTCTGTAGTTTTTACTTGTCGGGTGCTGCCTCGGACTACTTCTAGCAAGGGTTATGGAAAACCTTGACGAGTTTACTTTTGGGGCTGACATGTTGAAGGCCAGATTTGGTTGTTTCAAACAGAACGCATGCAATTATTGTCAGGATGTAAATCATGTGCCGGATGTTACAGTCTTAACATCGTCGCCAAGGAAGCAGCAATATCACAGCTAGCATTCATTGTATGAGCTATTCTCGATTGAAAATGTAACTGGACTTCAAATCTTCAATGTATTCCCAATCCTAAGCTGCCTGCGAGCCCCGTTCATTCCAGTACTCGTCGACGAGCCCCACGGTACCACCAAAAAACCTAACTGCGAATTCTCTGGGAGATGAATGGATAATCTGAAAATCGTCTAAGCATAAGTTCGGAAGCCTTGAGGTGGACGATTAGAAGATTTAGCTGCAGGGTCAAAAGATACTGGAAGTGAGGGACCCATGTACCTTCATGGTGCTTACAACTAGCAATACGGCTTGAATTACAGCATCCATAGATGTTGCTAGGAAACATTACGCATATTCCCCAAGCCTCTAACTGAAGCACCAAGTGATTTCTGGCCTCCGCAAGGTATGATTCCTTTTAATCTTCTCTGAAACCATCCCTCTCGAGTTCCATATCCGAAGTAGATATAGATCAATTCAAAAAGAATGACCTGGTCCTCCAAAAAGGTCATCCTCCAAAAGTGCAAATCGAGCAAATGCGTCAATTGGAGCTTTCAACGACTGCTTCTGCTTCCAATGCGCCTCCGCCAATTTTCATTCATCTTCATCGCGTCAAAATTCCAAGAGGTGCTCTTGGGACATAAGCTCCGAATATTGTATAGACTACCGTCAGGCTAGCAGACTGGATAAATACGACCACCAAAGGACCTCAGATCCCAGGCCGTGCCAGCCTCACCGCAGCTAATGCCCGGTGGTGTATCGGAAGGTTCATCTTCAGTGTGGAATTTGCAGGCACGAATACAGCGGAATTCCAAGATATGGGCGATCTCGTGGCCTAGTAATATGGCGAGTAATGGAAGCCCTCCGATTTTTCGAGAGTGGCATAGTTTGTGGTTTTAATAGTTGAACAAGGCTCATATCCGGGGATGATTTGCGCCGAAGGATGGTTTCACCATAGGACGAGGAGTTTGCACTCATGTCGGGATCTAGTTCGATATCCGAGATATACTCATGAACTAGGTCGATAATCCCTTCATCTGGGAGGGCAAGTTCTGCCTCAGTATCAACGAAAATGTATGCAATATATAGTTGTATTGGGAGTTAAACGAGGGACTGAGTATAAAAGCCATATAATAGTAGTATCAAAAGTGATGCGTGGCTGAGAAACAGAGAGAGAATAAAAGAGAGAAGAAGTCGCATTCTATAAACAAACAAAGAGCTACTTATATAGCTGATTAAGGCCTTCAAAAAGCAGTATAAAGATCTTTCGGAAGGTAGTATAAAAGAGTCCAAAAAAGACATCAAAAAAAGACATACACAATACCATACTTAGTCGCCCGTAGAGTTGCTCAGAAAGGATGTACTTGCAAGTTGCCACCTTGTACTCCAAGCCTTGAGTTTTAAATATCTGATTCTTAATGAACTCTGCTTTGGCTTCTATACTATTTTCTTAAAGTTAGATGTGTAGAAAAGGCTGATGATTCACTACTCCAATAGTTCATTTATTGTTGTATATGAATTGAGATACTAAAGTGACATTGCAGTCAATTCCTCCCTGTCTGTTTGACAAAGAACCCGCTAGTATCAAACCTTAGGAAACTCCTTGTATCCCTGCCCGGCAACTGAAGTATCCATCCACGATCTCTGCTTACAATCCTGGCTAAGATTCTGACACCATGCGCTGCCGATCTGAATTACGGAGTACATACATAGTGTTCAAAAAGTCTGTTCCCACTGCCCCACTTGCTATCCCCCTAACAACCATCGTGGTTTTTTTTCTTCTTCCTACACACCCCCCAATGGCATTAACCAAGGATATCCTTGGTTTAGGTCGTACAAAATCAGGTGAGCTATCTGTTGCTCAGCGCTCAGCTATTATTTATGCCCACCAGGCCGGTGCCACCCAGTCAAAGCTAGCACTCGATTTTAGGTACTCCCGCCGAACGATTTACAATACTTTGAAACGGTTCAAAGAACACAATACTGTTAAATCTCTCCCTCGAACCGGTCGCCCAAGGATCTTTAGTGATCGAACTCGCCATTTACTTTTTATACTCGCCCGCCGGCACCCCTTTTAATCCTATAAAACGCTGAGTTGTGCTATACCTGGTCATCTATCCCGCTCTACTATTATTAACGTTTTAAGGCCAACCGGTCTTCTAAAATATAGGATAAAAAGGAAGATTCCAATCGGAAAGGAATTAACTCGATAACAATATCGTTTTATTCAAAAATGGCGCTCTGAGTGGTCTAGAAATAACGTTTAAAACTGGGTCTTCTCGGATAAGTATTCTGTATAACGAACAATAAACTATAGACCACAATAGTATTAGCGCTTTCGGTCGGAGGGCTATAGAAAAGATCTTATAAATACTAAGGCATACGTTAAAGATATTTCATAAATGGTTTAGGGTACAATCTGGTTAGGGAGTCGATCAGAGTTGATTATTATAAGGCAGGAGAATATTATTAACCTAGAATTGAAGAAGATAGGATATACTGCTATTTCCTATATAGATACTCTCGAAGAAGGTCTACTTCTATTCTATCGACCCTACTCTATCTTTCAGTAAGATAACACTCGGATCCATACTGCTAAAATCATATAGGAATGGTTTAAAACTTACGGGATATATGTGGAGGAGTAGCCGCCGCACTCACCGGATTTAAACCCGATTGAACCTGTATGGCAGTGGCTAAAGGTTAAACTTTTTGAGTTATTTCCTGAGCTGATATATATGGGAAGGTCTGAGGAGGATTGGATAGTATTCAAAAGGTATATAAAGATAGCATAGGATGCTATTCCGTAGTCGAAGATTGATTCATTGATTTTGAGTATGGGGCGTAGATGTATGGCAGTACGGAAGGCAAAGGGGTATTATACAAAATATTAAATTTAAATTTTACCCGAGATTGGCATAGGGTTTAACCCTATTTAATTCGAAGTAAATTGAGTAAAGTATGGTGGTGCTATGCATAGATATATAAAGATATATATTTCAATGTTCATGGGTGAAAATGCGGGTGGGAACAGACTTATTAAACCCCACTGTAGTATGTATGCCATCGGGGTATAACCCTTTCATTGGTTAATATTTACCGGCAGTATTTCAGATCCACTCTTCAAAAGGGCGGTGAGTTAATCGGCACTCTTGCCAAGAACGTAGATCCTAAACAGAGATCTTCTCCAATCGCCCGGACAAGCCGAACAGTTGATGAAAAGGAGTTCGCGTCGATCGGGGGTAGTGTAAGCCCAGTGACACAGTGCAACGAGGTGTGTGCAAGCACAGAGACCAAGTCGCGAGGTCCAAATATTAGAATAATCATGACGTTCTGCAATGCAGAACATTCAGCGATTAAACTGAATAGAACAGATACTACACTTGATCTAAGCCAGAGGCAAAGAGAGCTGAAGAAGAAAGAAAAGAAGAGGAAGTTCTGGGGGCAGGGCCACCTTCTTATAGGTATCCTGAGGGCGGTCGGTTTATGCCACTATTCACAAATAAGACAAACCACGACATGGGCTCGGTTAATTGAATAGTAACGTGATGATATAACCATGTGATGATAAGAATAGGAATGGCTTCTCTTATTTCCGGCTGACTTATTTCATAACTGTCATTCACTTTGGTATAAGACCATCATGTTTGTTTCTTCTGACAGTAAGAGAAGGGCTACCAACACAATCCCCGCTAGATTACTTTAGGTATGTACTCTGCTAGCCGCAATTCTCACACTATAGTGCCTAATAGGCCATGACGCCCACACTTCCGAGTAATACTATTCATAATATGTAAGAGGCAATTTAGGTATGTTGTATGTCGAAAGACCCACTTCTATAACCATTAAGGTTCGCTTCCTGCCGTGATTATGTAATATTAAGTAGGATTTTATCTCCGACTAATCCCATTCAGGCTTAGCGCCAGTACCTTTAGTATTACATAAGACCCCCTGCCCCGCTGTGGGCCCGTAACATTAATTCGATGATCCTTCCGAGGTTTGTTGCCTGAGCTGCTGCCTAGTATGCCCTGACTCAGACAATAAACTAACCTTGGAAGCGACAGTCTCACTTTCCGATCATTTCCATCTTCCATTTCATCGATCTACTGCAGCTCTACTTGACCTTGAGTCTTGGCTTGAAGAGAAACGCCAATACCCAGGTATTTGCACCGAAGTTTATTGCATACCAACACTATCTAAATAACATATTTTCGATAGAGAGCCATGAGTATCAGCGAGACTGAGCTGGTGGAACAGCTGTTCCTGGACTTCACTGTGCAAGAAGTACTTCAAAAGGATACCAGGGGATTTCCGATCGTAGAACCCTGGGCTAGCGAATACGTGAACGCTATACGGGAACGCAGATTCGGCGACGCTGTGTGGGCACGCTACCATATCGATGGTGGTGTGCATGATGGCATAATTGAGGACACAAACAAGACCGTTCTGCAGATGATCGAGGAAGATGCACTGGGTTACAGGGTGGGCGATCCAGACCTCTATGCAGAAGCGCTCTCGTCCGTCTACGAGCGTACTAGTGCCTCGGATGGACATCGTGATGTGATTGACCTCCTTACCCGCATTGGCAATCAAGATATTAAGGAGCTACGGGCTCAAGCCCGGGCTGAACATCGTGCTGAGCTTCTAGCTGATGAATTGGAATTTTAATTGTCATGTAACGAACGTCTCATTGAGCTGCTTGGATTCTAGAAAGAAACCATCGAGCCAGGTTCTTCTCGTCATATTCTACCATCAATTATTCTTCTAAAGGGCTGTACACAGGTGCTTGATCTACATACACTGTCATCGACTCCAAATGCAAAGCTGCCGTGTCATCCTTAGTCCGGAATCATCGTTTCCCGTTGCTTGTCATGGCCCACAATCGGGGCGAAGCGCATGCATGAAGCGGAATAGCGGCATACCAGACAGAGTTAAACCTTCAAGGGGTGGATTATGATGATCAGAGTCACCAGACGCGTTGGGAGAAACGGAAGGCCTGTCTTCTTACATTTGTAAGACACGATACGTTTATTACAATCTCAGAGTGGACGCAAAAATGCTTCTGCCTTGGATCCCCATGATATCATAACGTCAAGCCTGGAGCGACGTGCTGGGGCCAAATGGTTCTGTTATTGTGTGGCTCAAAGCCGCTAAGCAATGCCAAGACCCAGTTTAACCGGTCGATCATGATCATTTGTCTTCTTTAAAATATATGTTTGGATGATCGACATTATAAGACTTTCTTACAGTAAGCAAGAGGGCGGCACGGCTTTGTTGTGGGGGCATGATGCCCACCATTTGGCGAAAAACATGGCCTCGGCGCTTTTTAGCTTTGAATATGCCCAGATGGTTACATGGCTACATTAGCAACTCGACCAACACTACCATGCGGGGGTGAGGCTTCTGTCCAATAGCCTAAGCTTATAGTGGTAGTGTCTCTCCCACTTACTCCATCCGATATCTCACAGGTTATATTTTCTTTTTATGTAATATGATAGTTTTCCCTATTTTTGGGGAATCCTGCGGCATCCTCCTCGTATTTTGAAGGAATGAGACAGAAACAGAAAAAAAAGTACATCAGTCAACCAATTGACATCTGATGCCACTGCCTCTAAGGTGAGCATTGCGTTCGAAGGATTGGGGTCTACTGCATAAGCCATGCAATGTAACCTGAATACATGTATACACTACTGCCATCCTCAGCTGATCTGCTCCTAACAATCAGCCGTCTAGGGACCTTTGACCTAAATATGCTGCTATACAGAATTAGATGAGGAGGCAGGAAATGTATAAATAACATTCAAATAACTGCCCGAATTTGGTTTACTTCTTTCCACCCCACTTCAAACCTCATTCTTCTTTGTTTGATCATCCCATCTTAAAAGAATATACACATACCTTTTCAACCCTGTCACTATGCGTTCGCTTTACCTCCTCGCAACTCTGCTTCTAAACCAACGGGCCGCTATTGCTCTGAGTCTGAGCACCACCGAGCTTGTCGAACAGCTGTTTCTAGACTTCACCATCGACGAGGTGGTTCAAAATGACACAAGAGGGTTCCCTATCGTCGAGCCTTGGGCAAGCGAATACGTGAACGCCACACAGGAGGGACGATTCGGCGACGCAGTGTGGGCCAGATACCACATTTCCGGGGATGTGGACAGCAGCACCGGCATCATCGAGGGCACAAACTTGACCGTTCTTCAGAGTATCGAGGAAGACGCATTGGGCTACAGAAGCTCCGAGCCAGAGCTATATGCCAATGCCCTCTTATTCTACGGCAACACAAGCAAGACAGATTCGCACACCGACATCATTGACCTCTTCACGACTATCGCCCAGCAAACTCCCGAAGAAGCCCAGGAGAGCCTCAACAAGCGTGTTACATACGGCATTAAATGCAGTACGGGTAACCTTGCGTACAAGTCTAGCTGCCTTTCCCTTCTCCAGAATATGTCCCAGTCGCGGTCGAACATTGGCAACATAAGGAGAATTTACACTTACAGTTCGTGCAATCTCAGGGTTGGTCCTTATCACGGTTCTTATACCGATCTGAGCTATTACACTGCCCATTCCGTTGCACGATTGATTGAGGACCAGTGCACGTACTGTCCTGCGTGCACTAACAATTTGAGGGTCTCGGGATACTCGCCCAAGAACTCTGGACATCGTAAGGTGTGTCTGAGCAGCAAAAGGACGGGGTGCTCGCCCTAGATCTTGATTGAGGTGTTTGTTTGGCAGGACGAATACGTGCCTCAAGGTGTAATAAGAATATTGTAAGAAGGAATGCACGTTTGACTTCGGCCCGCATGGCATGTCTTCTCTGAATCGCGGGGTGGTTTGGGGATTGAAGGAGGGGTTGGTGCCTAAGGAATGCATGTCTTAAGTATATTGTTGAAATGGCCAAAAATATTGTTTAAGGTTATGCCATAAGGCAACGGGTTCTATGGATTGATTAACCTTGTACCTCGATGAAAGATGAACGGGAAAAACGCGTCGACCACCTACGCCGCGTGGTTTTTACTAGAGAAGTTGGGAATGATGGTCATAGATATCATGCAAAGCGTGAGGCCATTTCCACAAAATAGGAACAGCCTCCGTCGATAAAAATGGTCAATAGCGAAGAATACAACGAACGAAGCGATGAACTCCGAAATACGGGGCAATTGTCCCGAAAATCCCAGGTTCTGCTTGGAGACGGCTGTAAAGTACTCCGGTCACTTGAGTTTAAACCTGCAAGTCGAGACACAGCACAGAACGGTAGAATAGCTTCCATCCTGCATGGTGAAGATATCTTCGAAGGAAGCGGCAACTTGAGCGGTTTCCGGAGAAAAATCGACAGATGAGATCTCGCGTCGGATTTTCGATACATCGATTTCAATCTAATTCAAGTTAGTTCCTTTACGGATTGTTTTCCCTGGCCAATTAAAACGAGCCGGCGAGGTAATCCAGGGAAGAAAAATATAAAAATGATCAAGACAAGGGACAGAGCAGCAGGGATTTCTAGGAAAACTATCCATGACACGGACTGGCCTTCGATATGAGAAGAGCCAAAATTGTTCCAGTAGCATGGAATTGCCACTGGTAATGAAGATACCATCGATCACGACGTTCTTGCCCCGGTTGGTGGCTTTTATAGTGCCATACGGAACCATGGTAAAGACCGTTCCAATGCCCATACTGATGATGATACGACCGACAAGCAATTGGGGTAGCTTGAACGAGGTGTAGGATGAATTTGCCGATGAATGTGAATATGCCCCTAATGAAGACGGCTTTCCTCCGACCGAGCGCATCATATATAAGAGAGCAGGATAGGACCAATGCATGAGTGTGAAGGGGGATACAGATTCCTTATACGACGGATGGATGAGACTTCGTGGATCCATGGTGTGGAGTGTCCAGTTTGGGTAATGTTTTCGTCCAATTGTCGAAGGCACGACTTGACGCCGAGCAAAAAGCGGCAGGGTTGAGCACTAAATCGGAAAGGGAACGCCAAGAAGTGAGGGAATCAATCAAGTACCTATGTACCTGCAAAGGGTGCTCGTGCTGAAATCCCCCGATATGTGGAGAACCCCATTTTTAGGGGCTTAGCGGGAGAGTAATTTGAAGTCGTAGAAGTTCAAGGGTTGGAATAGCAGAGGTGTTTGATCAAGTTCAAATATCATGCAGATACCCAATGTCATATACCTTAATAGAAAAACGACTGGAGAGAAGGAGAAGTTCGAAAAAAAGTGTGGAGAGTCGACGCCACAGGGAGGATCCAAAGTGGCTAGTGTGTGTTAAATGGACTTCTGCCAAACATTCTGGATCCTTTAATCTCAGATCTTCACTTTCCTCTCCCTCTCACTCTTTCGTCTCGATTTGAATACTCGGTTTCTATTTCTAGGAGATTACAGAATAGCCTCTATTCTTTTTGATCCTCAATTCCACTTCTTCTTCCCTCCACTCTTTCAGTTTCATTCCCCACCCCCCCTCCCCGAAACTCCAATTTCTCCCTTGTCTTGGCTTTCTTTTCGATCTTCAAGACTCAGACGTCTCAAATTCTTTGCGGAAAATACAAGCAAAGCCCATTTTCTGTTTATCCGGAAGTTCCCACCCCCTTCCGGCCTCGTGTTCCGTGTTCCTGAAGCTCGCGCATCGAAGCCTCCACTTTGATTTTCATCGGCAAAACAGCTCTTCCCTCTCTGGCATGTCCGCGGCCCTTAGCTAGTCGCACATGTAATCATGGCACAACCTGACCTCACGTCGCATCACGTCAACTATTTAATATGGAGGTAAGTGCAATATAACCCATGCATCTCCTGCAGCGCTAATATCCTTCGAGGTACCTCCAAGAAGCCGGTTGGTCACATTGCCCCCTTTGCCCGTCCAATTGACCTCTAACTCGACGTAGGCCATGGCGATGCCGCCGTGTCTTTGCAGCGCGCGTGGTTCCCGGATCCGCAGACTCTCCCGTTTGCGCCTTACATTAAAACCCATGCGCTGGTATCGCTGGTCCAGAAGGGCCTGCAATATCACGAAATGGAATCCTCCTTGGACAAGGTATGTGTTTCAATTTGAACGGTCCTTACGCGCCAAACGGAAAAAATAATTTACTTTTTTCTGGTTTCCTCAATTGAAACCCAAACTAATGGCGATGCACAGGAGGGCAATCACAAAAGCCTTTCACCGTCTGATTTTTTTTTCGGACCAGAGCCCTTTGAAATTGGAACTAAAACTGGATCGGCGGAAAGTCGCGATGAGGCGGTCGGCACAGACCCAGTTTCGCCGGGTCAACTTGCGCGCGACCGCCCGGTGAACGGCCATGCCGAGTCCGGAAAGGACACCCGAAAGGACGAAACTGATAGCGATGAATCCATGGAGGACAAGGCGCGAACTGAAAGTCAGCCAAATACCCCCGATCATATGGATGAGGATGGTGATGTCAGCATGGCCGAGGAGATTCCCGAACTACCGCCCACTCTGCAAAACGGCGAGAGCTCTTCCATCCAGATCGCCCCCGCCAAGCCCATCGATTTGACCCCGGACACCGCCTTGCTGAATTTGGACCATCACGTGACCCACGTCGTTTGGCGCCCTCGGGATCCCACTGTGGTAGTGGGAGCTGGTGACCTCTTTTGCAGCTTGTGGAAGTTGTCAATGTCGTCGGAACCGGTGCAGAAGAAAATCCTCGAGCTCAAGAGGGGTGACACAAGTGTCTCGACCGTAGCATGGGATGCCATTGGTGATAAATTGGCCGTCGCGACTTGCACTGATGACAGGGGCACTATCACCATGTACAACGTCAATGGAGACGCCGTGGATTTACTACCCGAAGTACCCCGGCTGATCACGGGCTTGCACTGGGCAGCGGGTAGCTCACAACTGATCGTTGTAGCCTCAAATCATAACGTATCGGAACTCGCGCTTTGGGACGACAGCCGCCGACCAGATGTTTTCCCGCAACCTCAAATAATTGAGAACCATATTTATGATCTCGCATGGTGTGGACGCAATCTGGCATTCGCTTCAGGTGAGGGTGCAGTCTATCAATGCGAAGTGGACAACAGCATCCGCTTGGTCAAGACATTTCCCTCTCCCAAAGATAACGCGACTTGGGAATTTATTCGTTGTGTCCAAACCGAGTCTCATTCGGTTGCTATCGTGGCTTCTGGACTGAGTGCTTCAATTTGGATACCTACCCACGACATTCTTATCCCCAATGCCCACAAGGATAGAATCACCGGCATTGACATCAGCTCTCAATATGACTCCCGTCGTATTGAATTTGCTTCTTTCTCGGCGGATGGTAAGGTCAAGGTCTGGCATGTCAACCTCGATACAAAGGACTACACGAGTATCCATCAGCTGAGCCTGGACTCAAACCCCGCTGTTACCGGATCTTTCTCCCCCGATGGATATGCCCTCGGTGCTGCTAGCAAGGACGGGCTCTTTATCTGGAACACTAAACAGACTGGCGGTAATCTTATGTCTACCTGGACCGCAACTAGCCCCGAGGTGAAGAAAGAGGAAGCCGACCGCATGACCAATGGACACAATGGACACCATGAACAGAATGGCTATTCAAAATCAGACCCCCATCGGGCCCTTTCCTGGGATGCAGATGGAAAACGACTTGCCTATGGCTTCGACAAACAGGTAAGCTCCCTGGTCTAGTTTACCTGTATCAATTCTCCCCATGCTGACGGACTCTCGAAGATGGCAATCATCAATTTACAGCGATGACAGAGTGGGTTTGAAACAGCCACGTAAAACTCACGACTCATGCCCTGCTTGAACTAATCCGACATTCCCGCTCGAAAAGCCTTCTCTTTCCCTCGAAGACATATCACCCTTCATAGTTTTCCCGATTTTCTTTTTTTACTTTTTGCCTTCTGTGAACATACATTTTTCTTTAGAAAATGCATAATGGCATGCATTGCTTGGGACCGGTTTGGGTGGACACGGCGAATGACATGGACCGGCGATGGTGGACTCTTTCTTTTGCCTTTTTTCCCATGGCCCATCTCGGGTGGGCTCTGTGATTTCTAAAACTCACTGTTAGTGTCTGATAATCAAGGAAATACCCCGATTCTCCAATGAAGTGTTTGTATTTACAATATAGGTACATCCTACAGTCCCGATGTCGCTAGGCCTTTATCGATAATCGATATGTACCCCTCGACGCTAGTCCGCTTTTGGCTGCATATAACCAAACGCCGGCACACTTGTGAGACGTGTAAGCCTTTCAAGGTCGCGCGAGATTTGATTTTCAACTCATACATAAGAAGCCTAAAATTTATATCACCATTGCTTATCTTGTTAAACCTCCGAGGTCGAATCCGATACATGCAGGCCGGGGCGCATTCCTGCACGCGGCGGCCGTCAATACATACATGTACCCACCCACAGTGAATCATTTTCCCACCGCCCATTCAATCCTTTCTCTTGACTAGCATCGTCGATATCAGCCACTTATAACAACATGGCAACTGCTGTAAGTACACGTCCGTCTTGCCACTGGATTTCTCCACTGTTCGACACCCCCGAGATTTTGTTTCCGCTCATTGACCAATGAGTCAGATCGCCACCATTCCGTCCCTCGAGACGGCGCGAGAAGTTATCTCAAAGTCGAGGAACTCCGAGTACCCTCCCAACCTACTTCCTGTCACGGCTTCGATTGCTGCCGACCTTCTAACCCCGACATTGGCATACTTGAAGATTGCAGAGAA